TCTGTCAAATAAATAAATAAAATATTTTTTAAAAAATGCATGCATGTTACCTTCTCTGCTCTTCTCCAGATTTAGACGTCCTTGTTCAAGAATTGTCCCTCCAAATGACTTGTGCAGTCAGCCATCGATCTCCAAGCCTTGAGTTTGGTGCCTTTCTCTAATTCACACCGAGGTGCCAGACAGAGGCAAGGGAAAGGCCTTGCAAAACTTGTGGCAGGAGAAGACAGCCTTAAAGAAGAGAGAAAAGACAAAAAGCCACAAGGAAAGGATGAATGCATTTGACGACAGCAAAATTTTACATTGTTGTATGACAAAAGACCACAGAGATGGGGTTAGCAGGCAGTGTTTGAGATGGATAGAAAAGCTAGTAATACATTGTACCTAAATATTTGCGGTTCTTTAAATCTTGCTGTAAATTATCTTTAAAATAGAACGGAGGGGCGTCTGGGTGGCTCAGATGGTTAAGCATCTGCCTTCGGCTCAGATCGTGATCCCAGGGTCCTGGGATCCAGCCCCACGTCCGGCTCCTGGCTCGGTGGGGAGTCTGCTTCTCCCTCTGCCTCTCCCCCTGCTTGTGCTCTCTCTCTCTCTCTCTCTGTATCTCTGTGTCTCAAATGAATATATGGTGCGGGTAAAGGATTCACGAAGGTTTCACCCTTCTGTGTGACAATTTGACCTTCAGTTAAACTTTCTGTTTTCTGGTCCTCTGAAACCTGATAAAGATAGAATGTCAACTATGTCATTAGGCAACCTTACTTGTATTAAAGCAATGGCGTCTGGCACAACTCTAAATACTTAGCTTTGGGCTTCTTGGAGGGGGAAGACTCTTTCCTTGGCCCCTGGTGGGGTCCCTGGAAGCTATGCCTGTGGGTTCGTTCCAAGAATGATCTGGCTCCTGAGGGGTATGAGACTTCTAAGTCAGGACAGCTACCATGTGGTGCTGACATGAGTCTTCTCTCGACACACCTAAGCTGTAACTTGGCTCCAGGGGGCTTGGGAGAAGCACCTGTGTGGATTGCAGCACAGAGTATTGCAAGGACTCCCAGGGAGGTGCAATGCCTAGTTCAGCCCTGCTCCAAGCATTGTTCTTGATCTGTATCCTTCCCAGTGAATCTGACACCAAATGTGGCCCCCGGTAGTCTTACTGAGTCTTAGTATTTAGTTGTACCCCAAAGACCCCTAGGAGATGTTGCACATGGTAATATAGATAGCTTATACCTGAGCTAGGTAGAAAAGGACTAACTGAATAGAATAGAACTGTATGATCTATTCAGTTTGAGATTTAGTTATCTACACCTGTGAGAAATCTTATTTCTACTCTGAGGTCGTAACATATGGTTTCCTGTTTCCCCTTGTGACAGCTGATGCAAGAAGCAGGTATGGGGACAGACAGGGATGTACACCTCTGTGCCACCAGCCTAGGAAACCAAAATCTATAATGCGATTTCAAATATTTTTGAAGAAGAACCAATCTAAAGTCTTCATCTCACATGTTTCTTTCTTTCTTTCTTTCTTTTTTTAAGATTTTATTTATTTGAGAGAGAGCGAAAGTGAGAGAGATCACAGAGGGAGCGGCTGAGTGGAGATCCCCATGCAGGGCTCCATCCCAGCCAGGCGCCCCATCTCACATGTTTCAAGCAGCTGGTGAGGGACCTGTCTGAGTTTTAGAGGTGGAAGTCTTCCTTAGCCTTAGAGATATCTCTTAATCTGCCGAGCCCGATCTTCAGTGAATCCCCATTTCCCTTTTTATAAGCAGATCCGAAAAGGACAACTAAACCTAGTCTCAAGTGTCCTTGGAGGCTTAGTGTATCTGTCACTTGTTCTAGACGTATCTGTAACATATCTAGACCTGATCCAGATGGGAGACATCTTTAAAGTTGGAGAAAACATTTCTTTGGATCAAAACTGATCAGAGAGATAGGGAGTCAGAACCTCCTCTTTTGATCTCTTATGTGACAAGAACGCAGCCTCCCCCCACATATTATGTAACAAAACAATGCTCTCACTGAAGAAGCTACTTATTTCTAATGCCCTTGCACCTTCAAAAAGCATAATACTAACAACACCCTTTGTGACCATGTAGATATCTCATAACATTACTCGGACCCTATAAAAAGATGACTAAAGAACCAGGATCTGACCATCTCTGATGTGGTTTTAGTAGAGAAAAAAAAAAAAAGAAAAGAAAAATCTTGTAGATATTTATTCCTCAGAGACAGAATTTATAGGAGCCAGAAAACCCGGCCCAAGACTTTTACATTATAATGATAAATCTGTTGGTTTGGGTCAAATCAGGTTATCATGCGAGTTTTCTGTACAGTTTGTCTTATTGTTTTAAACCTCACTAGATTAAAAAAATACAAAAGTAGTATGTGCCTTTTGTTACAAATTAAGCAGTAGAGATCTATAAAGAAAAATGAACAACACCCCTTCTCCCCAGAGCCACCTTTTTAAGGCAACCAATGACAGAAATTTACTCTGTGTCTTTCCACTTCCTTCCCTGTGCTCACATTAATACATATAAAGACATATGGATCATGTAGAATAGTTTGTTTTAAATTCACACTGCATATATTACTTTTCAATTTGCTTTTTTTCACTTGCCACATTATACAGCTCTGCAAGTTCTTACATATAGCTCTAATTCATTATTTTTTTTTAAAGATTTTATTTATTTATTTGACAGAGAGAGACAGCGAGAGAGGGAACACAAGCAGGGGGAGCGGGAGAGGGAGAAGCAGGCTCCCTGCTGAGCAGCCCAATACCGGGCTCCATCCCAGGACCCTGGGATCACGACCTGAGCCGAAGGCAGACGCTTAACGACTGAGCCACCCAGGCGCCCCTAACTCATTATTTTTAATAATAGCGTTTTCTTGAAGTATTAGCCCTCTATTGATGGACATTTAGGCTGTTTCCTTTTTTTCCTTTTAAAAATCACTACAAACAAGGCTGCAGTAGATAATGTTGTACATATAAATTCACGCTGGTGCATTTATCTACGTAGGATCTCTGAGTCAAAGGACATGTGATGTACAGTATTAATTTTAATAGTTATTTTCCCAAAAGCTTGTAGCGATTTATGCTTCTGCCCCTTCCCCAAATTCCTGCCTGCCCTGGATGTTTGCAATTTTTACATTTACATTTTCCAATCTGAGGATGAAATATGGTATCTCTTATCTGTTTGCCCTTTCCTCCCTCTCCTGTCTACTCTCCAGTCTGCAGACAGAGTGATGTTTTTGACAAACAAAATCTTACATTGTCACCTTTCTGCTTAAAACACCTCATTAATTTCCCATCACTCTTAGAACAAAGGCCAAAATCCTTAACATGGCCCAAAGCACCCTGTGGTCTTTCTACCTCTCTGGTGGGCTTGTCTCCCAGCTGGAAGGGCTTTCTCTGGATTGTTCTCAACTCTACTGAGAAATCAAGGTGACACCTCGTGTTGTTTGCTGGTACAAGCCTCACAGGGAGTTTTTAAAATGTGACTAACTTATGCCTAAAAGGAATAATTATTTCTATTTTATTTGCCTTGATGGAGATGTTTCTCCAGGTGCTTCGGGCAGATCATTTAGGGTAGCACTTGTCAAAAAAAAAAAAAAACATGTCAGGGCAACACCCTGACTCCTGAGGAATAGGGAGAAAGTCTGATCATAAATGTCAGGGGTTTTTGCTTCTCGTTTTTAAGTTGGACTTTTAAAAGTAGAAGTTGCCTTTAATGTGCTCGGTTTGCAGAACAAGAAATCTGATTTTCAGTGTGATAACACATTTTTTGACATTAACCAGTACTGTTGGATTTTTAATGACACTTTCATCTTCAAAGCCTTTCACCAACACAGATGGATTAATTATTCTTTTTTTTTTTTTTTTGGTGGTGTGTTAAAAAGACAAGTCTTCAAAGCCATCATCCTTTATCCCTGGAATTGGGGCTCTTCACCTGCCCCCAAGGGAAAAATTAAATTGAATTGCATCTTTGTTTTTAAGAAGAATACAATAGAAATACACTTTTTGCACTATGGAGAAATGGTCTTATATCCTGGGTGGGATTAGAAGAGGTCGGGAAGCAGTGTTTAACCTGTGTTTACAGTAAGCACTGTGAGAAATAACTGGTTAAAAGTGTTTGTTACTGTTGTTCAACCTTTTGATGTGCTCTTAAATAAAAGTATCACACACACGAAACGTCCTGCGTTCCCCATACGCAGGAGCCTAATACTCGCACCCTTATCTTCGTTGCTAAGGTATATTCCTTTCCTCCTCTCTTCGAAAAACGTCTAACGGGGTTTTTAAAAGATTGGGTTTTGGAGAAGTAAACCCTCAAGCCTCCCCGGAGGTCCCCTTTTGCTTGACACATCTTATAACCACAAGGGAGCAGTCTTTCCTTTGATGAGGTCTTCCCTCCACCTCCACAGAAATGGAAGAGCAAGGGTAAGTTTGCAAACAATCTGAAAGCTCTTTCCATTAGCCCTGGACGCCGGAAACCACAAAGGGCAGTCAAGTTTTGATTTTCAAGGAGAAAGCCTCTGGTAAACTTTCGCTCAGCCGCCAGATCTGTGGGTTCCTGGGAGGGGCTCTTTTGAAACCTGGAAGATTCCTATACTCTTGAAGAGGCAGGGCGGTGGATTACAGTAATTGAAAAGCTTGGGTGATTTTGAAAGATTACTCTGTTTGGTGTACGCTCACATTTCCAGGCTAAGGGGCCAAGCAGAGGCATCCCTTTTGTTATCTGCTGAAATAAGATCAGAGGGGAAGACAGGGTTTGAAGTGTGGATTAGGGGGTCCTAAATCTTTGCCTATCACCTCCGTCTGGAGCTTTATAAAATGATCGACGAGTGCAATGAATTTAGGGAATCATGCAGAGTTTCCCTGAAGCCTGTCCTGGAACCAGAAACTTCTTTAAAGTCCATCTGAATGGATCAGCAGATGATCTACGCTTCGAAGATTTTAAGTCTCATCTTCTAAGAGATTAGCCTCTTGGGTTGATCTGTTTGCTTTTCGGCGAGGGAATGGAGAAACGTAAACCGGCCGGCCTGCTGCCCTCGCCGTACCACCTCCGCACCGTGCCCTCGGACCTGCCGGGGACCCAGACCCGCCTCCCTCTCAGGAACCCGCTCAGGGTCTCCCGTCGTCTGGACGCCGCGTGCTGGCCGCGGGCGCCCATGGGCTGCGCCGCGAGGCCGCCCTGCCGGGCCCTGCCGCCTGAGGGCGCCGTGGAGCCCGCCTTCCTCCGCCGGCGCAACGAGCGCGAGCGGCAGCGGGTGCGCTGCGTGAACGAGGGCTACGCGCGCCTGCGAGACCACCTGCCCAGGGAGCTGGCCGACCGGCGGCTCAGCAAGGTGGAGACGCTCCGCGCCGCCATCGGCTACATCAGACACCTCCAGGAGCTGCTGGAGCGCCACGGCCGGGGACAGGAGGGCCCCGCCGGCGCCCGCCCCCCGCGCCCGGCCGAGTGCAACAGCGACGGCGAGTCCAAGGCCTCGTCGGCGCCTTCGCCCTGCAGCGAGCCCGAGGAGGCGGGCAGCTAGCGAGCGCCCGGCCCGGCCCCCCGCGCCCCCCGCCCTGCGCGCCCCAGGAGTCGGGCCAGAGAGTCTCTCCCAGGGTGGTTTGTAGTTTTGGCTCTCGCTTTTTCCCCCAGAACCAAATCTTAGGAAAAAGAAATGCGTGTTTTACGGGGGGCCGAGGGGGGCGGGGAGAGTGTATTTTGACATTCTGGTTGCCCTCCTCCCCCCAACCCCCCTTATTGGTTATGCGCCTGCAAACTCAAAGGTTTAAGGTGCTTATTACGGAAATTCTTCTACGGTCCTTCTCAAGTGCACACGGTACCGGATTCTGAGCACCTCATTATTCTAAAAACTCAAGAGGGCGACAACAACAGGAATTTCCCACAGCCCGCGGTGTGGGTACATTATGTACATGAATATCGAATTAAATCCAACCTTAACCAACGAAGAACTTTCCAAATAAATAAATAAATGACAGCCCTTAGGACGAGAGGACCGTTTTCCTGCATGCTTTGAGAACTGCATTTGAAATTTAATTGACACTGTCACTTTGGGTGAAGGTGACTCTAAGCTGCCGCTTGAGCAAACACCCATTTGCCAGGGCTTGCTGCTAGACCAGCGCGTGCCGTTGGCTGAGTACGTGCACCGCGGTGTTCAAGAAGATCAGGGCGGTAATTTGATACAGCCAGCTTAATCCAAAAGTGGCCGTTTGGACACTTCATAGCATTGAGGAAGTAATCAGATTTGGATGAAAACTTCTCAGTCGTTTCTGTCTGCTGGTTTTTTATTTTCCTTTTCTTTACATCTCGCTCTGTAGTTCTCACTCCATCTAACCTTTGGTTAAGTTAAAGTGACAAATTAAAAAAAAAAAAAGGAAATGTATAGATGGTTGAAGAGGGTGGCCTGGGGTGCCTGGGTGGCTCAGTAGGTTAGGCGTCTGCCTTCCGCTCCTCATGATCCCAGGGTCCTGGGATTGAGCCCCACATCGGGCTCCCTGCTCAACGAGAAGCTTGCTTCTCCCTCTCCCCCTGCTTGTGTTCCCTCTTGCTGTCTCTCCGTCAAATGGATAAATAAAATCTTTAAAAAAAAATGAAGTGGGTGGACTGAAGTTGGTATGTTCTCAAACTTTCATCATCATAAGGGCCTCTAGGTATACTGAAATTATCTAGTGACTTTGGCTTTGTTCTTGGTCTTTGAAAAACATTTCATTTTAGTCAATTTTGTCTTAGAGACAATTATGAAATTCAGTAGATAAGTCAAATGTTTGTTGACATAGGAAGATAAACTTCCTCTCTCTAAAGTTGTTTTCTAATATCCTGAATTGACCTTTCCACAGAGGCAGTCCTGGTATGGGGGTGGGGAGTGGGGCCAGCACAAGGGCAAGGAGAGAAAACTACTCATGGTGAGCCCTTTCAGGGCATGATTTAATCTCCACAAAGGCCTCATGACCTAGGTTTTAGTACCTCCTTTTTACAGATATGTCAACTGGGGGAAGCTAATATGTTATATGAGTATCTTTTACGTGCCACGAATTCTGTTGTGTGCTTTTTACATGTTGTCCTATTTCATTCTCATTCATCCTAGTGAGGTATTACACATATGTTGTGGTTAAAAAGGGAGGGGGGCTTGCACAGGTTTGTATTGCTGTGGCTAGTTGAGCTGAGATTCAATACTGAGTTTGACCCTAAAGCCCAGACTTGCTGTGTCTCTTACCCTGTCCTCCCTTGCTCCCTTGTTAGCCAAGTGACAGAGCAAACATTTCTTAATTGCTCAGCAACTCCATTTCCTCATCTGTAGGTTTCACAGCAGAAGTGTAGATGAAAGACCATGGTAATCTGCAAGGTACTATTCAATGGTAAATTAGTCAGGTTTTAATCCTTTGGAGAAAATACTACTACTCGGTTCTATGGGGAGGAAAGCCTGGTTGAAAATGATCTCTAGGTAGTTAGTGTGATTTCTTCAGTGTGTTAGGAGGAGGACAGAGTAACCACATGGCATTAGGATTTTACCATCTATTGTAAGGTTCCAGGGGACATGACTTGACCTGTGGAAGCTGAATCCCTGTTAAAACATATAATTACCAATATTTGTAACAATGAGTTATAATGGATTCTGTGTTTCTGGCGGCACAGATAAATGCTTTACAATGATTCACAACAAATCTTTACTTTTTCTTAAGAACTGGGCAGAGCCTTTTGGTTTGAAGGAGCAAGACGTAACCTTGCTCTTGCCCATTCCTGGGTTACAGCCTTACCAACGTCTGTCATGTATCCATTTTGGTCTCCAGGCTAGTTGTTACTCCCTATAGAGGTTTCAGTGAAGCAAGCCTGGGTGAGATATATTTACTGTTGGGGGGGGGGAATGGAAAACACCCATGTTACCTCCCTGGCTGAATTGGAGGAGAGGGTAATTCACCAAGTTGTTGAGAACCTTGAGAAACTTTTTAGGGGTCTTCGATAGTTCCCTCATTCTGCTCCAGCCATGGTTGGCACCTTGACGTTCTCTTTTCCACAGTAGGAATAATAACAATAAAAGAGTATATTTTGTTTATATACTGTGGTTGCCTTTAAATGCAGGAAAATGAAATAAAGACTTTTTTCTTCATTTACTTCTATAAAATAAATGCTTAAAATGTGTGAATAAATATATACCTTGAGATGAGTGGTTTATAAAGACAAGGACAAAGGCAGTTTTAAAAGAGAATTTTATTCCAGGGGTGCCTGGGCAGTCAGTCGGTTGAGCGTCTGACTCTTGATTTTGGCTCAGGTCATGATCTCAGGGTCATGAGATCGAGCCCAGACTGAGCACGGAGCCCGCTTGGGATTCTTTCTCTCCCTCTTCCTCTACTCCTCCCCCCACAAATAAATAAATAAAAATTTTAAAAGAGAATTTTATTCTGGATAAAAATGCCTTGAGATTTTTCATGTGGTTTTGTTTGAAGCCCTACTGAGAATAAGGCAATGATTTTTAGAAGCCTTTTGAAAAAAAAAATTCAGGGAGTTTTTCTGGATCCTTCCATATGGCCTACAGGAGGAGCACTAATTCAGGAATGAGAGCTTTTAAAATATTCACTCTTCCCTTTTCCTGTGGATGGATGCTTAATTAACCATTAGACAATTTGATTCTTGGAAAAACCAAAATAAATGACCAAAAAGGTACGTAGAAACAAAGTGGTGAGCAGAGTTTTATGGAAATGGTGCTTCATGACAAGAGAAACATTCACATGTCCTTTAAGATCTTCCCTGTTGTTTTTGGCCACTCAGCCCAGACACATCCATTAGAATATCCTGTATTACTTATTGGAATATTCCCTGTGGTTCATAACTCTGACTAATGGCTGCAACACCATGGTTGCACGCCTCCCCGAGGGTACAAAGGAGGAGGGGCTGTAACAGGGTGTGCCCTGGATAGGGCTGGGTTCAGCACTGCCCTTCACTGGCCTGGTGACCTTGGGCAGGCCCCCGATTTCTGTGGTCTGGGTGGTCCTCTATGCTAGGACACTTAAAGTTTAGATTGCATGATCTTTTAGGCTTTTCCAGCTCTAGAATGCCCTTCACCTCCCATGTGCCCCATCCTGGACTCGAGGAAATGAATGTCAGTAAGACAAGCCTGCTTCCTGCCACATAGAGCAGCAACTCTTTATCATCTTTTTCCACTAGAGAGATCCAATTCCAGAGCAGGAATTACTTTTTTTTTTTTTTTGAGTCTTGTTGCAGTTACAATGCCTCATTTTATTTTATTTTATTAAAGATTTTTATTTATTTATTCAACAGCGAGAGAGACAGCAAGAGAGGGAACACAAGCAGGGGCATAGGGAGAGGGAGAAGCAGGCTTCCCACCGAGCGGAGAGCCTGATGCGGGGCTCGATCCCAGGATCCCAGGATCAAGACCGGAGGCAAAGGCAGGAGCCTAATGACTGAACCCTCCAAGCCCCCCTACAATGCCTCATTTAAAAAAAAAATGCAAGCTGAGGTACCTGGGGGACTCAGTCGGTTGGATGTCTGCCTTCTGCTCAGGTCACGATTTCAGGGTCCTGGGAAAAAGCCCTGTGTCGGGCTCCCTGCTCAGCGGAGAGCCTGCTTCTCCTGCTCCCTCTGCCACTCCCTCTGCTCGTGCTCTCTCTCTCTCTCACTCTGTGTCAAATAAATAAATAAAATCTTTAAAAAATAGTAAAAAAAATGCAAGCTACATAATTTTTTTGTTGGATGGAATTTGAAGAACCTTCCAGTCTGGAGGGAAAGTTAACCTATTTCACCTTAGTATGATGAAAAAAGATATACATGCTATAACTGATGTCCAAAATGAAAAATGTTATCAGGATACAGAGAAAAGAGGGAGTTATTCCAGCCTCAAGTGGGTAGAAAACTAAGGAAAGGGAGTATTTGGAAGGTGAAATGGAATGAGGACTACAGAAGATCCAGGGGCAGGGAACAGGTGCCTAGAAGGCAGGAACTATGTTTAGAGAATAGAAGCTGGGTGACAGGAGACTAGAAGCTGGCTGAGACAAGATTCTAGAAGGCGTTGAAAGCCAGGTTAAAAAAACCTGAACTACTGATTTTTTTTTTTTTTTTTTTTTTTTTGGTTTGGAGAAAGAGTGAACTGTTCAGTGCTGTGGCAGGAAGATGCAGACCTACAGGGCATTGCAGTAATGAAGAGAGAGGGAGGGAGGGAGGACCTCAGCCAAGGCAGTGGCCCTTGAAATGGGGAGGAGGGATGGGCTAGGAGGTGATGTGGGCCTATCACTGATAGGTGTGTCCACTCAGAGGCTGGAGGTGGGGGAAGAGTAGAGGGAGACGTTAAAGACAACTCTTGTGAGTTCCCATCAACTGAAACTGGGAGCACAGAAAGATGAGCAGATTTAAAAGGTAAAAGCCGTGTGTTAGAGATGGTGGATTACAAATACAGTAGGCTGCTTCTGTCCACAAGCAGTTGGAAATGCCAATGTTGAGGTCAGGGGGGAGGTCAAAGACAGCTGGAGATTGGAGAGTCATGCACCTTTGGGCAGTAATAGGAGTGGCGCAGAT